CCCGCGAGGGGGCGCATTTCCATAGAAACTGGCCTGCGGGCAAGACTGCCTCAGATTGGGTAAACTGATGCCAAATTCAAATGAATATTAAACGAGTGCATGAGTAGACTGAGAGGTACAATAGTGCAAGGGAGCACCTTGGGGATGGATACAGTGTGGAACTTCCCTGCTCTGGAGGAACCTCAGAAGAGGGATTTCGGAGAGAGCTTTGTACCCGTTGCTTCTCTGAGGACCTTCGAGCCCTGCTCTCCCAGCTTCCTAACCCAGACTCTACCCATTAATAATCTTACTCTGATCTTTAGATTTATTTGTGTGTTCCTGGTTAAATATATCAAGAAAGCCATATGATCTGTGTTTCTGTGTCTGTCTTCTCTTATCTCCTCACAAGCTTCTGTGCGGTTGCATGTACTTTGGCTCCTGTGACTCTGCCTAGGACACCGTTCTGGCTCACAGGGTACAGCTGTCTTTCACATACTGAGGAAACTCCAAAGTGTTAGCCCACGATGAAGCCGTTTTCTATTCCCACCTCCAGGGCGTGATGCTTTGGGGATCGCCACACCCTCGCCGACATCTGTCCTTACCAGAACGTTTGGTTCTTGCCATCGTGGTGGGAGAGAAGTGGTCCCTGGTGATGGTTTTATTTGCTTCTCCATATTGAAAGATGATTTCAAGCATCTTTTCAAGTGTTAATGGCCATTGTATATAGTCCTTGGGGACCACTGTATACCGTCCTTGGGAAAGCACACATGGAGCTAGATCACCGGTCAGTTCTTAAACATAGTTATCTTTCTATTACCATGTTGCATGTATTCCAGACATGCATCTTGTGAGTGTCAACCTCTGTTTTTTCTCTCTCTTTCAGGTGTTCTATTCAATTTGTTGATCCTGTCTTTCCAAATTCAAAAGCTGTCCATTCTGAAATGTATATTTATATATTTTCTTGTCATTCATGATATGGTATTGTATCTAAGTGTTCACTGACAGATGCAGGAAATGAAGGTTTACCCTTTTGTCCTCTATGAGTTTGAAATTTTACATTTAATTCTGTTATCCACTTTGCATTGTATTTTGATTACATTGTGAGGTAAAATCCTAATAAATGCTGCTGTTGTGGCCGGCAGCTTGCCCACCAATGACACTGAGATTTGTATTTCCCCCTTGAGGGGTCTCAGCATTCCTCAAGAAAGTCAGACTATCAAGTGCACCAATTTTTTATATCTGGACTATTAATTTTATTCTGCTGACCCACATGCCTGTCACTGCACTGATTCCTCACTGCTACAATTACAATTGCTTTGTAGTAAGTTTTGCAAATGGGGCCCATTTGTCCTTCGTCAGGTCAGTTTTCACTATTCTGCATTTCTTGAAATTCCACACAGATTAAAAGTTCAGTTTCCCAGTGTTGTCTATTCGTTATTTTTTCTATTACAGGGTCTCGCTACACAGTCCAGGACAGCCGTGAACTCACTGGAGAATCCAGGCCGGCTGGAATTCCTGATCCTCCCACTTCAGCCTCCCCAGGGCTGGAATTACAGACATGAGTCACCATGCCTGCTCAGTCTGTCAGTTTCCATGAAGTCACCTGGGGCTGTGAAAGGGACTGAGCTGGACTTA